GGTCACAAGCTGGCGGAGGGAAGGTTTAAGTTGGACATCAGGAGGCGCTACTTCACGGTCAGGGCGGCTAGGGTCTGGAACCAGCTTCCAAGTGAGGTGGTGCAGGCTCCCACCCTGGGGGTTTTTAAAAGGAGCTTGGATGACCACCTTACTGGGGTCATTTGACCCCAGTGCTCTTCCTGCCATGGCAGGGGGTCAGACTAGATGATCTTCTCAGGTCCCTTCCGACCCTAGAAACTATGAAACTATATGCTTTTAACCTCTACTTTTCCTTTTTAACACTACCTTTCTTTTCTTAAAATGTTTAAGTATTCTTAAAATAGATCTTGTAGCCTTCAGGTTAGATCATATTGAACTGTTAACATAATATATGCTTTCCTTTCTTCTTAGATTAAACAACAACAACTATTCAGGGACTTGATTCTCCCGGTGCAAAATGCAACCCGTCTTTAACAGTTGCGGATCTTTAAGTGCAGGGTAAAATCAGATTATTAGAATTTGAATTGAAAGACATCACATTTTGCAGAAGGAAAACTGGATTAAATTGATTACTCCAGATGTTAAGACGGTGGTAGACAGATTAAAGACTGTTTGCAAGGTTTTCTAAGCCACCCCCAACAGGGTTACAAAACTGCTTCGTTCAAAAGAACATTAAATAAGCTTTTGATGCTCTTGGAAGAGCTGAGGGAAGTAAATATACTTTTGGTAGCAAATTAAAACATATTTGGTATACAGTCTAGAACAGTGGAATTTTAAGAACTCATATTCAGTCTTATCTTCAAACTTATATTCAATCTTCTCCTCATCAGGCCAAGTACAGACTGGCCTAAACTTTTGTCAGTATAAGTGATCAGAAACTGGTCTATACCTGTAACAGAACAGAAGTTTGGCACACATGGACTGGTTCAAAAAATGGTGGAAAGTGGTCTAAGATTTGCACCCTCACCCCGCCAAGGGTGAATGTGTGTTCTTTTGCTACCTATCTAACCCATTCTGTTTACAGAAAACTGCGTAATTCAGAATGATTCCACCTTGGGCTTTTTGAATGTTTGTACCTAGCCCCAAAGTAATGAACAAGAAGTTTAAGTTTAGAAATTTGTAGCAAAAAGTTGTGTCAGTCAACATGATGCTAGTGCTGGTTCCATGATCCTGTAATTATATTCCTAGCATACACAGTACCACATCTATCCACTGTAGGCAGAAATTTACCTTTAGGCCAATAAATCTGTGGTAAAAATGTTAACATGTGCATCGTGTCACCTATTCAGTCCACAAACAAAAAACATATATTACACTCAGCATTCTGCAGTGTAGTTATAGATTGTTACTACTTACTTTTTTGCTTCTCATATATGACAGGCGTCCCTCATGAGCATCAGGATAAGTGCAAAACAAGTATGTGGTGATGGCATGCTTTAAAAAGGAATCACCAAGCATTTCAAGCCGTTCCAGATTAAATCCATCACTAGCATTTGAAAGGGTCAGAGCTTGAAGAATGAGACCAGGGTTAGGGCCAAGGGTTTTTGAGGAGTACCCATTGGAAGGGCTCTTTTCAGAATCCATTCCGTCTATTGCGGGATTAAGAGCTTCTGAAGTACTGGTGGTCACTGCCATTTTGGGGCATCCATCTGAGGTAGATTTGTTAGCATTTCCATCAAGGTATTTATTACTCAGTAGAGTACATTCATTGCTGGGCTTGGGCTGGTTCTCACTGCTGTATAAATTCTGAATGGGGAATGAGGTAGTTGGTTGTACAGGTATTTCCTGCCTGCAGTAATTCAGCTGATTTCCTTGGCAAAAGTCTCTGGTAACTAAATCACAATTGCCATTGGCAAGATTTTTGTTGTAAGAAACACCATTAATTGCTGTAAGTTCTACTGGGACATCAATTTGGAGTTTACTGGGTGACTCATTGAGCAATGTTCTGTAATTCACAGACATTTGGTCATACTTTTCTGTAGAAGAGGTTCTGTTAGCACCTTGATGTGCAGCATTTTCAGGGACTACAATTGTGCTGTGCTTACAGTAATTTTCATTCTCTGCTAAAGAGGAGCTAGGAATAGAGATGAAGGATTTGCTGTCAATAGACTTTTTCCATCCAAAGTCCAGGTTCGGATATCTGCAAAGATAAATGTTAATTTTGTTAAAGCCTTTAAAAATGTTCACACAGCATGAGAAGAATTTTATATGCATGTTTTACATGGTGTAGAAAGAAGAATATTTTAAAAGAAATAAAAACAACTTCAGCATATAACATTTTTTACAACAATCCAAATATTCAATACTATTTCCCTTAACTGAAAAATTTCATGGAACAAATGTAGTCAATCAATTTTAGATTGCTGAAGCTTTGAAAATTTTCACAGAGTTTTTGCAGCATTTCTATAATGCATATGAAAGAAAAACAGATACCTGAAATCTGCAGGAAGTGATTTAACCCCTACACCAGCATCAGTGGCTGTTTGGGCTCTCAATTCTTCTGCTGTCAATAGACAGTGCAGACGATAAAGTATGCTGGGGAGACAAACTGCTTTTCTCCACAGTGATGCTGGAATAGGATGTATAGCACAGAGTTCGGGAACCAATATCTTTGAAGAAGGAAAAGAGTTTTATTTTTACCTATAGTCTTCAGAGGTCTAAAGTATTTGTTAAAAGACGTGAGATGAATGCGCTATTAGACTAGAAAGCAAATCATTACCTGCTTATTCTGCAGACTTTCCCATTTAGCTTTCCTCTTCTCAGCACTGCTTAGTGGAAGAGCTTTCCCCTTCTGATTCAAATGGCGAGGGGTTAAAAGATTAAGTCTAAAAACAAATTGGGAAATTTTCTCCTTAATGTAATTAAACAAAAATTACTTAAATTTTCCCCAATGATAAATGAATTTGCATACCCATCTTCACTGACAACTTGAGCACTCAAAAAGCCACCAAAAATCAACAGTTACTTGTAAATATAAGCCTTCAAAATGTTATCCAAAAGTTAACTAACAAACTAAAATGGTGCATTATAACAACTGTTTCAGGACTGTACAAATAAAACACAAATGCACATTATATTGATTTCATTACCTTGAAGATGTGTGGTCCACATCCAGCAGTGGCTGGTTGAGATTGGTCAGGTCAAGATTATACTTTGTTTTATAGTATTCAGCAAACGTTTCATATTCAGGGGAAGGGAATTTGCTGAGTGGAGTAAGATCAGTGTATACATCAGCTACATAGAATCGATGAGGCTGATCAAAATTTCGATACCTTAAAAAAACCAAAAGACAGTATGGTACGTAATATGTACTTTGAGTAAAATTTTTCATTGAAGGCTCAAATTCTTCATTGGATCAGATGTTTCCAAGTTGCCAAATAAACTCAAAGAATTAACTCTTATGTACAGAAAATTAAAAGAGTACTGGATCAAGAACTACAGAAATAAGCACAGGATAAGAGCAGAAAAAAAAAATCAGCTCAGTAATCTACATAAATGTTCTGTGAAGAAACAGGAATCAAAATGACCTATTTAAATAAAAGGATGTATTGCATCCTTTGTAAATAATGGCATATGCATGTTAGGTTGTCAGCATTTTTAAAAAAATTAAGAAATGTATTTAATTAAAAACCAAACTTGGGCTCTACCTCACAAATTCTGAATGCTCAGAAGTAGCCTTCTAGCTATTGTATATTAGAACTGGGGCTTTTGCTAAGCTTTACCCCCAAAAGGAGTCTGTTACTGCTCTTTAAGTTAAAGCAACTAGCATGCTTATATTTCAGTTTGCACAACTTACTAGCTGACGAGATCAATTCTTAAATTATGAAATGGTGTGTATTTTGGGGGTCTTTGGTCTGATGCATATACCATTCTCCATCCCTATCCAAAAATCTGAGAAGCCTTCTTAAATTAAGAAAAATCTTTCTTAATAAATCTTTCATCCCTGTTCCAAAAAGGAAACCAAGACTGCTACACTCCTGCACCATCTCGATTCTGTAGTCTTGGGAACTGGATATTTAAAGCTACAGCAGCCTTCTCTTACCAGCCTTTTCACAATGATTATCTGTATCACAATGATGCCCATTGTCCAAGTTAAAATGGAAATCTGTTGGGCACTGTACAAAGGAGAAGTTACTGAAAAACTTATGTACTCTTGGTGTAGATGCTCATACATCATAACACTTGGAGACTTTTTTTCCTTAACGGTACCCATACCCCTTTCCCCCCTAGTGTGCTGCACCAAAATGATAAAGGCTGGTGCATGCTTCTTGCTCTCAAGTTCTCTTTCAAGTGTAAATTCTTAAATTGCACACAATTCTGAGAAAAAGACAGACAGTGGGATGCAGATATGTACATGGACAACACATTTTGAAGAACAGCAGTTGCTTGTAAGTAACTAACTTTCTCTTTTGAGTGACTATCCATATACACAGGCTCTGTGGGTGTGGTAAAGCCCACATTCCTGGAGGTAGTCTTGGAGTCCCCAGACAAACAGCGATTGAGGGACAACTTTACAAAGGCAGCCACCCTTCAGGTATCAGTTATACAGCCACTGCACAGGGAGGCTATGGAATTGGTCTAAGTTCTGGTGAAACAAGTTCTGACTACATGAATCTGTTTCAGTTTAGCAGTCTTGTAACCGCTTGACATGGCTTGATATAAAATTGGACAGGCTATACCGACATCAGTGTACCCCAAGGGCACAGGAACACCTGTGGAGACTTTCTGAAAGGTTTCTGAAAAAACAAAGCTCTTTTCACAATCAATGCTGATAGGAAAGTTTGAGTACTGGAGGAGCATCTTTTTTTGAAGAATACCAGCAAGTTGATCTGCTGACTTATAATTCAGTGATCATTTTCAGCAGGAACTTGAAGAGTGTCCTCAAGGACACTTTATCTGCATAAAAGTAGACTGAAGATCTATCCATCATTCCTGTGAGGTAAATACCACTAAGAAAGTAATCATCATGGTGAGGGAAAGCAAGGAGCACAATGCTGTTTTCAAAGGCTACCCTTAACAACAAAGGCAAGAACCACACTAAGGTCCCATTGCGATACAAAAAAATCACTTACCTGGGGGGAAGACCTTATACAGTCTGTTAAGGAATTGAACACTGATGGGTAGGAAAAATGCATGTTAGCGTTCAAGTGGAAGATTGTGGGCCAAGATGGAAGGTAGGTGGACTCTTGACTAAACTGATGGACAAGAGTGCACATTTAAGATCTAGCACAGTGCAATAGAATGGGAACAGAGGAATCAATATGAAGATGCTTCCCTCCTGAACCCCTTTACCAGATAAGTGTATTTTCTGGGATATAGTGTCATAGACACGCTCACACAAGAGTCCTCCATTACCCACAGGCGGTGAGATGTAGTAAGCAAGGATCTAGATTAGTGGTGCTCAAACTTCTGGTCCTGCAACCCAGATTGGTGGCACAGGGCCAGATACAGCAGGGATTTGGAGCACTGGATCCAACTGTGGAGTAGCCCTGCCTGCAAGGTGATGTCACCAGGCCCACGGGGCTCCCCAAAAACTGGCTCATGGGGCTCCTGCAAGAAAGCAGTGGCAGCATTACTTGCCACAGCATCCAGTTAATGCTGCCACCTCTCCTCTACTGCCAAGTTTCCAGACCCAAGGGCTCAATTTGGTCCACAGACCATAAATTGAACACCACTTATCTAGATCAGGGTTGTCCAACTGGGGACTATCATGCAGCCCGCAGGCTCCTGCCCAGCTGCTATTCCCCTCGCTGCTTTTGATGCAGTGGCAGCTGGGGTCTCCAAGCTCCCCTTCCTTCCGAAGCTTCCACTTCCTGACCCTGTTCCTGGTAAAAGGAGGGAGGGGACTGTACAGATGGGAGCAAAGAGGTGGGGCTGGGGTCTCTCTGTTGCATGTGCAGTATGCTGTATGCAGTAGCAGAGGGAGGGAACTACCTGTTCAATGAGTGCAACAGAGGGAGGAAACTGCTTGTGCAATGAGGTCACACTGCTGACTCGTATCCATCTTATTGTCCACTATAACCCACAGATCATATTCTGCAGAGCTGCTGCTTAGCCACTCACTCCCCAGGCTGTAGCAGTGCATGGGATTGTTCTGTCCTAAGTGCAGGACTTTGCACTTGTCCTTGTTGAACCTCATGAGATTTCTTTTGGCCAATCCTCGAATTTGTT